AAGCACCTCATACAAGATGGAGAGTGTGTGTGACACCCACCTCTCACCCCACCTCTTTGCTGGAGAGCATGTGGACTGGCACCAGACTTTGCTTCTTGTTCATCATTTGTTGCTGCTTGGCAATTTGAGGGTGTCATCACCCTGTGTGCCTCTTAAGGTAAAGGAAACTTCCTTCTCTTCCACCATTTTGGCTTTTGTTTTCCACTTGCTCAGGATTTGCCAAGGCACAGGTATCTCAGTGCATGCTGGCAGGAGCTGCATTAATCCCACGCTCTCCCTCTCTTGTGTCCAAAGGAGAGGGAAATGCAGCCGGTGCAATTACCGGCTCATTAACCAAATCCCATCACAACCGGTCACTCTGCACATTCTTGGTGATTTAATTCCCCCATTTAATTAATTCCTCCCCTAAACGCGATTAGCTCACATTAGAGACTAATTACCAGTTAATTTTCAATTTGATAGTAAGTGCTCTTCCAGGCTCTGGCTAAGCTTCCTTGGTCATGCTGGATTTGCTCAGAAGCAGCCACTTACGATCCGGATTCCTGCTGACCTTGCTGTCTCCTACACCACATGCAGGCTGACTGCAGTCCCACCATGATGGCAGTGCCTGCTGATGCAGTGGAATCCTGAGGGCACTGACCCTTCCCATCACTGCTGGGCTCTTCTCCTGCCCAGGAGCGGCCCAAGGAATGTGAGAACCCAAACTGGAAAATATTTACAGTGCACAGCTTTGACCTTCTGCCCCTCTGGTGCCCAAAGCCTGTGGGCTTTGATTTTTTTTTTAATCTGCTTTTGTGTTTGTCAGGGGCCCTAAGGATGTGCATGCAGCCAAGGGCTGGCTGCAAGGGCTCTTGGTGCACGGCGAGCTTTTTTTGTGATCTGCTCTCTACTCCCAAGACTTCTGCATTTGATCCACAGGATAATTCGGTGCAAAATGCAGAAGCTGAACAGGAAGCAGAAGGCAGCGCTTCCTCCCCAAGTCTCCTCCCAGATGTGTTTGCAAAACTGCTTTCTCAGTGTGCTTCTGCCACGTGGAGGCCTCCTGGCCTCATTTGTGAACTGTGCAGCACAGTGTCATGGTTTGGACAGGAGGGGGTGACAGTCCTCTTCTGATCCACGCCAGCATGCAGCATCTGCTGTCAGGGCACTCCTTCATGGGCTCTGTGTGCATTTGCCTTCCCCACACAGCAGAAAGCAAAACATCACGTCTGCTGCTGCCCAGGCAAGCTCTCACAAACTCCTGCAACTGTTCCCAGGAAAGCAACCCGAGCTCTGATGGGCAGCCTGGCCCTGCAGTTTGCTCTGGAACAGAGACCTAGGTAGCTTGGGGCATAATGCCCGAATGGCACTTAGGGTGAAGTAGGCCCCAAAAGCTGTCAGCTGGGGCCTGAGGCAAGGCTCTGTAGGCATAGGCTGTCCCTCCTGTGCCTTGCACAGTGGGCAGGAGCTAGGGGATGCCTCAGCCCTTCAGATGGAGGCCTGCAGGCAGCATGGGTAGATTTTCTTCCCCACTTTCCTGTCTCACACCCATGAGCCCATTGCTCTGACAGCACTGTGTGCAGAGTGCTATTCCCAGATGCACCCAGGCAGATGCTGGCAGTGCTCGCTGGGTAGCAAGAAGGGTGAGAATGTGTTTTGGGTGCCCTGCAGGGTGGAGGGATGTGTGGCTGGAGCTGTGCACTGCAGACATGCCAGAGGTGAGCAGGAAAGGTGTGCTGCCACCTGCCAAGTGGGCAGGGGAACAAATCATGAGCTTAGGAGATGTGTGGGAACATGAGAGATTGATTAAATGGCTTTCCTAGCTGTGTGATGTGAGGTGGTCCAAGGTGACGAACCAGGACTCGGAGCATGTTCTCCCTAGAATCATAGAATCATTTGAGTTGGAAGGTACCTTTAAAGGGCATCTAGTTCAACTCCCCTGCAATGAACAGGGACAACTACAGCTACATCAGATTGCTCAGAGCCCCGTCCAGCCTGACCTTGGGTGTCTCCACGGATGGGGCATTCACCACCTCTCTGGGCAACCTGTGCCAGTGCCTCATCTGGAAAAATTGTTCTTCCTTATTTCCAATCTAAATCTCCCCTCTTATAGTTTGAAACCACTTCCCCTTGTCCTGTCACAACAGATCCTGTGAATGTGTCTGTCCCCTACTGCTTCCTCCACCTATCTGTGCCATACAAGCTGAGACAAGAAGACAGTGGCTTTTGGTGGCCTTTGGTGGTCCTTCAATCTGTCATTCTTCTTTTTGGGCACTGTGGGGCATCAGGGTGAAGGTAGGCACAGCCCTGTGTCGTTAGAAACAGTGCCACTTCCCCATCCCACACCTGCACATGCTGGACATGCATTCCCAACACAACTTCTTGGAAGAGAAGTGTGAAAACTCAGCTGAAATCAAAAGGAACTAAGAGCCATAGTAAGAAATTCTGGGTAGAACCAAATTTATTTATTTATTTATTTGTTTGTTTGTTTTGAGAGCTGACATGTTTTGCAGAGACCCAGTGTGATTTATTTTTACTGCTGCATGTTTAGCCCTCCTTCACCTTTCCTACAGCTCAGCTTGAGTGCTGTTGAGTTGTACGTGCCTTGTACGTGTAGTGTTTACCTCATTTATTTTCTGCTTTCCACCATACACACAGCGTATGTTCTCTGTTATAACTCAAACCAGGCATGGTAGCTCAAGCAACTTGTTGCAACACACTTGTTGCTAAAGCTCAGCTGTTGCTAGCACAGCTTCTCTCCGCTCTTATCAGGGTCAAGCAAAACTCAATGCAATGTGCACAGCCTCAGTGGGTAGCTCAGTACAACCTAGAAAGGGTGAAGTGATTGACAAGCTGCAGCTTTGCTGCTGTTGAGCTCCTAGGAGTTGGGCTGTCTTTTTGCCAGTTGCTAGGCTGGAGACCTGGCACTGATCTCATCCAAAAGTACAGCACTCATTGCGTGGGCATTGCTTTCTTTGTCACTGTTGGCTTGGTGTCTCAGAAAAAGCCGTTGTGCTTCTTCTTACATTTGGACACATTTGGGTTGCCTGAATTTTTGTCCCTTGCACAGGGCCGATGCTTCGTCTGTGCAGGCTTCCTCCTGCCTGGCCCCTTTGCCAGGAGGGATGCAAGGCATATGCAAGGCTGCCTGTGTTGAAACCTGTTAGCTGGAGGGAGGGTTCGACCACAACAAACAGCCTTTAATAGGCTCTCCTGCTGTGTTTTCAGCCAAGTCGATGATGTGGACTTGATTATTCAGTGAATGAATGCATTTCCATTTTGATTATGCGCTTGGGAAAGCACAGTGACTTCATTTAACAAATCTTCCAGATCATCTGTAAGAAAAAAAATGCTCTAAACCTTCTGATCATTATGTCATTGAAGTATCTATTCTGTGCAAGGGGGAGAAGATGGCACTGCTCCTGTTCCGGTGGGGGATGTGAACAACCAGGAGGCATATAACCTGTCTGGTGAGGTGTGGCAGTGCTGTTGGCTTGAACAACCTATGACGTGCCATGGGTTTGCTGTGGAGAGGCTATTTCAAAAGACATTTGCATGGCTGTGGAAGAGACTGACTCATCAGCTGTAAGGGAACTGTGCCACATTTCCATTAGATAACTGGGAACTGAAAGTAGCCATTGCCAGCAGCCCATGGAAAGCACAGTGCGAGGAGGTGAGCAGGACAAGGCAGCTCTGGGCTTGTTACATTGACAGAAGTGACCCCATGTCTGCTGGTGGGACACATGAACAGCAGCTGCTTGAAGGCAGAAGTGAGAGCAGGGGGAAGACGAGGTGGCTCAGCCCCAGTTCAGGTTTCACCAGCAGCCATTTGTCCCCAAAGCTAAACCTAGAGTGTGTTGTTCCCTTTCAGATGCTGGCTCTGCACTTTCAGGTCTCTGCTCCTGCTGCAAGGTTTCGCCATGGTGCAGGACTGGGTTCCCAGACCCATGCTCTCCCTCACCCTCTCCCCTTGCTATTTCACAGGCTTTGCTTCTTGGCCCTCCTGGTGCAGCAGGAAGATAGGAAAATCTGTTGTTCTGGCAGCATGCAGGATTTTCTGGGACCTGCTGGCAAATGTCTGGGCTGATGTTTCTCAGAGTTTGTGTAACTTCAGTGGGAGGCAGCCTCATATGCAGATGAGGAGATCGTCCCTGTTAAGACCAGCCCAGAAGGGAAAAAAAACTTATTTCTCACCTAGATCAGTTTCTCTATGACAGCCCATGCCTGGGCAGCATGCACTGCTGATGTGGGAATGCAAGCAGCTGTGCAAGGACCTGCAGTGTGGAAGCCATGGTGAATGTGAAGCCTTGTAATAGGCAGTGCTTTGGTCTGTAATGCTCTGCCGGGGAGATTCCAGGGCTTGGAGGGTGCTGTGTGCACCCAGCAGTGAAGTGTGGACATCAGCAGAGGCTGCTGGAGGGAATTTGGGGCCAGAAAGCCCACCCAATGCTAAGCATCTGCAGCACTTCCAGCCTCGAGCGCTCATCAGCCCTGAGTCACACTGACAAATGTCAAGGCATGGTTTAAAGCCCGAGTTGTTTTTTTTCTTTAAAAAAAAAACCAAAAACCAAACACAAGTTTCTTTTATCTGCCACTCAGAATTTCTGCTTTTTCTACCTAAGAGGACTGAAACTTCTCCCCAGGAACAACTTTCTCACGTTGCCATCTCATTTCGGCCCCAGGGGTGATCAGAACATGAAGCTGGAGTTGCGGGGGCTGGCAGAAGAGCTCAGTGTTCCTGCAGCCTTCTCTCCGAGGTGCCTGCAGAGTGAAGTTCCCCAGCCAGCTGGCTGCCCTCAGATGGGTATTTCCCAGAAAAGGTGACCTCAGTGCCCACCCACAGCCTCCCCACTGCGCCTGTGCTGAGGCACCTTCTCAGCTCTGTGGTTGAGAGGGGACCACAGGCGGACTCATGAGGGTGGATAGCACAGAGCTGAGCTGTGCTGGAGGCAGCTTCTGCAGCACTGCCATCAGGGTTGGGGCTGCTGACACCGCAACAGGCACATCCTGCCTCCATCGCCCCCAAATGTGGCTGCTGGAGTGAAGCTTTCCTGCTGCATCGAGCATAAATTCATCAGGTATTCCATTTCCTAAGGGGAAAAAAAAAAAAAAAGCAGAATAATTCACTTAGAAATACAGCGTAGAGTCATTTTCCCTCTGACACGGTGAGTGCAATTACCTGAGGCATGGAGGGCTGAGATAACTCGTTCATTCAGCTCCCTCTCTCCACAGAGATCATCATCATTCTGTCAGAAAAGGCTTTAAAAAGCAATTCACATCCCGAATGCAGAGTCTGGATGCTGGACCCGTCCTTGTGATTTCCATGCAGCAGCTGCAGCATCACGAGCAAAACTGTTTTTTAGACAGTGCAGTGCTCATTATTTTGAGGGCCATACTCACCACACAAGCTCCCTGTGTTTGCAGTCCCTTTTCCCAGAGCTACTGTCATCTCCTCGTCCTTTAGGAGCGAAGCTTATTGGCATCCTATTTGAAAGCTCAATTAACTGCCGCCATAAGCCTGTGCTTGTCCCCAAATATAATCATGTTTAGGCTGCATCCTCTGCCCCACCTCCTCAGCCATTATCTAATGGGCAGCAGAGTAATGGTTTTTGATAATGCTGTTTGAATGGCAGCAGTTCAGTTCTGGGCTTAATTTTTTTTATGGTGGGTTGGCAGGGGGAGAAAGCACTGGTTTAGATTGCCTGCAATCCCCGTTCTGCTTTTGGAGCTTTAGGGGACGGACATGTTCTTCCATCTCCACTAATCTCCCTCTGATATCGAGGATTTTCCTGCCATTAAATGATAGCTTGTGAGAAAAAAAATGCCAACTTCCCAGAGGCAGAATGCAGCTAATGGCATCCCTGTGAGCAGGAGGGAGAGCACAGCCACTGCCCAGCCAGGTAAGCCATGTCTGTAGGTGCTTTCTGTTCGGAATCATAGCTTTGGCTGCTCGGTGTGATGCCAGCATCTGTTGCCTGGGGAGGTGGCCAGTCCCTGACCATTGGTGATCTCTTCCCACCTCAGCCAGGAGCACACTGTCAGCACAGCTGGAGAGAAGGAAAACCTGCAGGGTTGGCTGAGAAGGTGGATGGTGGAAGGAAGGCACCCAGCAGGAACGTGTGGAGTGCTGGGGACCGTCAGAAGCCGTGTGCTACAGTATCCTCTTCCTCAATCTTCTTTGTAAATATAGACCTGGCAATGGGAAAATGATGCAGGCAAACAAGACGGTGAAACCTATCTCTGCTCTTCCTGTGTGCTTTTAGATCCCCCAAGTTTGCTTGCCAGACCTGAAATGCCACTAGCGAATAATCAAGGTAATGTTTGTCATCATTTTAAATGGTGAGTAGCACTCTTATTCTGCATTACCCAGTAGTGGGTTGAATGGATTGTTCTGTAGGTTAGATATGGAATTATTGCAAGCACTGCCTCTTCACCCTTTTAAAATCTCTGGCAAACACTTCTTTGGTCTCTCATTCTTTCAAATTATGGTGTTATTTAAAAGACCGAAAGAGATCATCCCTGGGTGGAATTTTTCTATTCCTTAATCTCACTAATATTTGTTACCTTAATGCTGAATTCCATCCTTTTTAAAAAAAAAAAAAAAAAAACCAAAAAAAACCAAAAAAAACCAAACACATCTGCACACTGTGTCAGTGAGTTGGAGGCATCATCAGCTGCTGCTCTGACAGTGTCAAAAACAAATAGCATCCGTTGTGGGGAGGGAGAAGGACTAAAGATGGCAAGGTGGGATGTTTCATGCTGTGTTGGTCAGAGGAGATCTGACTGTCAGGTGAGACTGCTTTCCTGTGCTTGCAGGAGGGGGATTTGGGAACACGTCCTTTGCATGAGAAAAAGGGAGAATGCAACAAAGATGCTGAGGGGCTCCTCTGAACTCCTGTTGCCTGGGGGATGTTTTCCAGTTTGCTGCTCCTCAAACATTTCCTTTCCGTGTACTGCACAGAGCAAGTTACACTTGTAGATCTTAGATGAGTGCTGTGAAATGCCACTAGCAGAAGACACAGATTTGGCTCTAAAAAAATTGTGCCTGAGGAGAAGCGCTGGAAAATGGCTTGGGTGCAGACATGTCCTTTATCAAGAGATTAGAGAGCAGGCAGGGAGGGGAAGGAGAGGATTTTGCTCATTTCTACTGAGCACGCAGTGCACACAGCTGCTGGGGGAGGTTTGCTCCAAAGGCTGTAGATGGGACCAAGGTTGGAGTAGATGTAGCTGAATGCTGAGCTTGATTGGGACAGCCTCACATATGGGGCAACCTATGCACATATGTCCCCCTGGATGTCATCCTGAGCCCATGTGAGGCTCTTGTTCCAGCAACAGTACTTCCATCAGTTTCCAGACAGCCACCTGCAGCCAAACATTTGGGAACAGGCAAATCCTTAATCTGTCTGAACCTCAGTTTATGTAACAGCATCAAAAAAACAACATATGCCCCTGTTTGCACACAGTGATGAGGAATGGTAAAGAGGGAAGCAAAAGACACAGCCCCTGTGTAAAGATAGAGCCAACCGAGGCCAGTGCCTTGTCCTCCTTCTTGTCCTAGGATCCTCATTCATTGCCTACCCAGTACCCTGCTAAAGAGTCAGTAGAAGGGTTTAGGAAAAAAGGAGAATATGAAGAAATGTCAGACTGCATAAAATTCTTCCCACCTCTCCAAGTCCTTCCCTGTTTCTTCTTGAGTGTCCCTGTTTTGCTAATTCTTCAGTCAGCATAGCATGGCCAAGCTTGGTGAGACCTGATCCAACAGAAGCCAGAGCTAAAGTCCTTCTGGGATGTGCCCTCCATTTACCTCAATCTGCCTTCCAGCCCAGTGACCAAGGGACAGTTTGGGCTGACGTGGGGAGGCTGATGAGTTGGTGTCAATGGGCACCCGCTCCTAGTTGAAGAAACTTCAGGCACTGCAAACTACCAGATACATACTATGTGTGTTTGCATTCCAAAAGGATGAAGGGCAGAGCAATTGTTGCTCACACTGCCATTTGGTCTGTGCAGTAAAGCCTTGGGTACTGTGAAAATAACAGATGGATGCTTGCTGAAGGTGATCCTTCCTTGCACATCATCTCACAAGCCTCTCTTAATAAGGAACACAGCTCAGTAAGGAACAAAGCTTAGTGAGGAATACAGTAGTGAGCCATCACTGTACTACATGGCAGCAGGGAGAGGTGGTTTAGCTGCTGAGCGTCTCCCTCAGATCCCTCAGAGACAGAGCATGGGGAGAAGCCCCTTTCTTGCCCTTTGGCCCCTGCAGCACTCATGTGGTCCCTACAGTACTGTTAATAAAGGTGGTTGATGGAAAAGATTATATAATTTCCTATGGAAAAATGTATGAAAGGATTTTGCTTTCGTGACAGACAGTGAACAGCAGCAGAAAAACCATTTGAGTGAGAAGCAGTTAAGGTGTGTCTTTGAAAGAGATTACAAAATGAGATCTGTAGTATTCAGTTCTTGCTCTCTAACGAGTTCATTGCTTAGTCATTTTGCTGCTAGGAGTTTCTTTCCACAAGATGTTTCAGTGTGTGCTGGCTGATGTCTCTTGTTCCCTTCGTTCTTCTCTGATTTGTCCCCAATAACTTTCACCTTCTTGGACATCCACCTGCTTGGGATTAACTTGACAAGAAACCACACATCACTCAGGTGGCAGACTGATAAAATGACTGAAGTGCTTCCTCCCACCAAACCCATGACACTATGGTGACTGTATTGAGAATTCACAAAACTCTAATGTCACATTGAATGACATGGTCTAGAGCTGTCACAGGCATGGGCTGATGGTTAGACTAGATGATCTTAGTGATCTTTCCAACATTAATGATTCTATGAATCTGTGATCCCATGAATGGTACACAGTATCTCATTTGTGGGGAGAGCACTAAGAAAGCATCTGAACAATATTCCTGAATCTGTCCTTCCTCGTGTCTATCTAATGGAACACAGCAACACCCTTAGCAGGTGATAGCTTCTCTTGCAGTGCTGCAGCAGCTGCAGCTTTGGTGGAGAAATGTGAGATTGAATAAAAATGAAAGATGCAAAAAGCATGAACACTGACATGCTACAGGCTGCCAACTGATCTCCCCTGCCTACTTCTGGAATCGAATCATAGAATCACAAATGTTGGAAAAGACCTCCAAGATCATCCAATCCAACCATTCATTCACCCATCACCAATATTCCACACTAAACCATGTCCCTGACTACAATATCTAAATGTTTCTTGAACACTTCCAGGGCTGGTGAATCCATCACCACCCTGGGCAGCCTGTTCCAGCACCTGACCACTCTTTTGGAAAAATAGTACTTCCTAATGTCCAACCTGAATCTCCCCTGGTGCAGCTTGAGGCCATTCCCTCTCATCCTATCTCTATTTACATGGGAGAAGATGTCGACCTTCATCTCACCACAACCTCCTTTCAGGTGGTTGTAGATAAGGTCTCTGTTGAGCCTCTTCTTCTCCTATGGAAGATGGAACAATCCCAGTTCCCTCAGCCACTCCCCATAAGACTTGTGCTTCAGATCCCTCACAGCTTCACTGCCAGAGCTTCAACATCTTTCTTGCAGTGAGGGGCCCAAAACTGAACACAGTATTCAAGGTGTGGCCTCACCTGAGTGCAGAAAGATGATCACTTCCCTGCACCTGCTGGCAACACTATTTCTGATACAAGCCAGGCTACCACTGGACTTCTTGACCACCTGGGCACACTGCTGGCTCAGCTGAACATTGAACAATACCCCCAGCTCTGTTTCCTCTACACAGTCTTCCCATCCTCTCTGCCTCAGAGCTGTAGAGTTGCCTGAGGTTGTTGTGGCCAAAGTGCAGGACCCAGCACTTGGCCTTGTTGGACTTCATCAGTTCAGTGATCCAGCCTGTCCAGATCAACAGCATACACTGACTGCCCTCCTCTGTTCTCCACCCAGAAATACTGCAGCCCCACAGTTGCTGTCCTTCAAAACATCTCTGCAGGTTCCTGTAGCCAAGCTTTGTCCCTACCAGTTTGCAAGCATGGGAATGCTGAGAAATCAGTGGTGTTGTAGGGAACTCTCTGGGTCCATCTGGCCCAACCCTCACTCCAGCAATAACATCCAGATCACAGTGGCCAGGATGACATCCATGTGGCTTCTGAGGATCTTCATGGAGGAGGCTCCACAGTCTCTCTGGGCAACCTGCTCCAATCAGGCTGGATGATTTCTCCTCTCAGGGAAAGAAATTCCACAGAGAGGATGCAGTAAGAAACTAACACTTTCTCAGAGAGCCTATAAGCAACAGCAGACTTCTAGGAATTGTTCACAAGGGCTTCTTAGCACAGGCATACAAATACTGTGTGACAATTAGCCTGCCTAGAAGGAAGCAGAGGCAGCATAATATTTATTCTCGTGTCATAACTAATATGTTTGCTAATGTCTCTTGTTTTTCTCTTCTCACACCTTCATGGGGTCGGCACATTCCTTGCTGTCAGTGATTCTTTGGGTGCCCCATGTCCACGCGGTGTGGGCCTGTGTGCGGTCCTGCCCTGCCAACTGTGTGTGCACCCAGGAACGGAGCTGCTCTGTCCTCTGTGACCGTGCTGGCCTGGGGCAGATCCCCAGTGAATTCCCCTGCGAAGCCTCCTCTATTAACCTGGACAAAAACAGCATCAAGTTCCTCTCTGAGAGGGCCTTTGGTACTTTGCCTTCCCTTAAATCCCTGTCCCTCAACCACAACAATATCTCCTTCATCACTCCGGGGGCTTTCAAAGGGCTGCCCAGCCTGACAGAGCTGAAGATGGCCCACAACGAATACATCCGCTACCTGCACACACGGACATTCACTGCTCTCCGGCGGCTGGTCAAATTGGACCTGGCGGACTGCAACCTCTTCAATATCCCAGACAGGATCTTCATTGAGCTGCCCTCTTTGCAGGAGCTTTTCTGCTTCCAGAACAACTTCCGAAGGATCCCAGGTGCCATTAGGGGCATGGAGAATCTGACCCATGTCTACCTGGAGAGAAACAGGATCGAAGCGGTAGCCTACAACTCCCTGCAGGGGCTGACCAAGCTAAAATACTTGAATCTGCAAGACAACAGGATAAATGTTGTTCATGAGCGAGCTTTTCAGGGCTGCCAAAAGATGGAGTACCTGTACCTGAATGACAATTTGATCAGCGAGCTTCCAGAAAATTCCTTTGATGGCCTGAGGTGCCTGAAAATGCTCAACCTAGGGGGGAATTTCCTCAGGAATGTTTCCAACACTTGGTTCAGGGACCTGGTGGAGCTGGAGGTTCTCTATCTGGACCGCAACAGGATCAACTACATTGAGGAGGGGGCTTTTGAGAACCTCACCAGCCTGGTCTCCTTGCACTTGAACAGCAATAACCTGACGACCCTGCCCTTCTCTGTCTTCCAGCCTGTGTACTTCCTGGGACGGCTGTATCTCTTCCGCAACCCCTGGGAGTGTGACTGCCGCATCGAATGGCTGAAGGAGTGGATGGAGAACTACAGACTTGTCAGGGATGTTCCCTGTGCCTCCCCGTCCTCTGTAGCTGGGATTGACCTAACGGACGTGCTCTACGACAGATCACCAGAAGGTTACTGTCTTGACCCTGTGGAGCTAAATGTCACATCTGACAGTCCGACCCCTAGCAGCGAGCCTTTCTCTACCACGGAGAGCAAGTTCAACAGCCTTATTTCTAAACTCTTGCTTCAGATGGGCCTTCCCGAAGAGGTGGCAAACACTACTGAAGTCTTCAGTAACGCTACACAACTGGATGGACTCACTGGTGGGGTTACTTCTGGCACAAGGGAAGACAGCAGCAAAGCCATCTCCTTCTCTTTCCACCTCCCAACACTTCTTACAGTGGTTATTTTCCAGAGCAAGTAGTGCAAAGGCTGCCTGAAGCATGCGTCCTGCTGGAGCATTTAGTCTTTGTCCCTTCCTTGCACTGCCCAGGGTTGCTACAAAACTTTGCAGGCCCTTTTAAACAGGAGGATGGTACCTGGGGAGGGTCTGGGGTGAGCGTGGCATTTTGGGTGTGATGTTAGATAAGGATTTTGTTCTTCTCCCTGCAATCCTGAGACATCTGCAGGAAAACCAGAGACACCCATTTTTGTCAAAGCAGTCTTCTCCCAGGAAAAGCTTTCAACACAGCGGTTCACTCCTCAATGTCTGTTTCAAAAGCTCGATTCATTTTTCAATGAAGATATTGTTTCAAGGAATATGCTGTTTTTATTTATAGGTTGTTTCATGTCCGGATAGCAGGAGTGGAATATGGCAATGACAAATGTAGACAGGCTGTACTGTACTGTTTTGTATTTCTATCACTCATTAATATTTATCACACAATACTTATCATACATAACCTATCATATTGTGGTATACATGTTCATATAAAATGATAGGACATATATAATCCCCTACTAGTGCTAAAATGTCACAAAATCAGAATAAAAATGGAAATGCATTTAAATTACTCTTTCTAACATTTCCTTAAATCTTTTTTTTCTCCATCCTTGCTTTTTCACAAACAATTCAGTGCAAACATGGATTTCAGAGATCATAGAATCATAGAATGTTTTGGGTTGGAAGGGACCTCAAAGCCCAATCACCCCAACCCCTGCTGTGAGCAGGGCTGACCCCACCTGCTCGGGCTGCCCAGGACCCCATTCAACCTGGCTTTGAGATGTTGAAGATATCCATGGTCTGGCAGACCTGGGGATATCCATTTCTGACACACAACTGGTTTTGTTCAGCTGCAGAAAGCAAGCAGGGTTAGTGCTGCTGTATGGTAGGACAGGAATCCTGTGGATATAATGAAACCCAAGATCTGTAGATGACAGCCTGGTGTGAGTAGGCACCTCCATTAGTTCCCCATCCCCTGCCACTTCCTCATATCACACTCCAGTGGCCACTCAAAAACAGAAGGAAAGGACAGGACAGCTGGAGATAGACTTTGCCCTTTGAACAGTATTGGGTGACATGGAAGTTTCATGCAAGAAACTTCTTCCAAAAGGGCTCAAAGCTTAGAATCATAGCATCGTAGAATATCCCAAGTTGGAAGGGACATGTAAGGATCACTGAATCCATAAGGAGCATCAGCAGATACCTTGAGCCAGGTCTTTGCCACTGACCAGCCCAGAGAAGCTGTGACCAGGAGCTTATCCCTTGGCCTCGAACAGTGCCCTCAGCTGACCACGTCAGGGGAACAACCCATGAAGTGTCCCACAGACCTTGTAGCAAACTGCCTTGGTGAAAGCTGGCAGGAACTCACACAAAGTAACTGTGCACTCTTAATCTGCCACAGTAGCTGCTTCCTGAAATGGAAGCTTCTTTTTCCCCCCATTTGAGTATGCCCATACATTTTGTCACCAAAAAGGCTTCAGGACGTGTTCCTCCGGGCTGCCTCGTTCGGTGTGCAGAGCTCTGTCCAAAAAGATTTGCTGCTTTGTAATTAGCACCAGGAATTTCTAAGAGCAGTCAATACCAGGCAATCCCTGTCAGGATGGCCCTTCAGCTATCTGTAGTTAGACCACAGCTTTTTCCCTCAGTGAAGAAAGATGGCAGATGGTTTGATAAATGCCTGTTTGACCTGTTCCATGAACTAAATGCAATGAGTTTGGATTTCCAGGCTATTTATGAATCCATTAATCTTCTTAAACGCTAAATTCATCTCTGTATTATGAAAGGCTGTTTTTCAAAACCAGTCCAGGCAAATGCTGTAGCGGCGCATTATGTTAAGGATGCTTCTACAGGAGCAGTGCTTCATCCTGTCAGCAAAGGTTTGTCAATATGTTTGACACAGATGGTGGCACACTGGGAACAAAAGGTCATGTTTCACTTCCTATAGGATGGATGTTCGATGAGTGAGTTGTTTTATTACCCATGCTTTCATTTTCTCTGCTGAAATGCATTAGAGCTGAGGATTGTCTTACTGCGTAATTGAAAGAGTATGGCTTTCAAGTTAATTATTGCTTCAAATATGCTTCTTTATGTGCAAGAATGGCAGATAGATAGATTAGAGCTGAATGTGAAATGCCTGAAAATGGCAGAGATTCCTCTGTGAAGTAAAGGACAAGGAGAGTGTCTGTGATACACTGCAGCAGGACCACAGAATTATAGAATCAGAGGATCATAGAATCACCAAGTTTGGAAAAGACTTCCAAGATCTAATCCAACCGTCCATCAATCACCAATATTCTCCACTCACCATGTCCCTCAGTACAACATTTACACAGCTATGAACACTTATAGGGACCAGGACTCAACCACCTCTGTTCCAATGTCTCACCACTCTTTCAGAGAATAATTTGTTCCTAATATCCAACCTGAACCTCCCCTGGTGAAACTTGATGCCATTCCTTCTCATCCTATTTCTGATACCTGGAAGAAGAGGCTGACCCTCACCTTGCCACAGCCTCCCTTCAGGTGGTTGTAGAGAATGATAAGGTCTCTCCTGAGCCTCCTCTTCTCCAGACTGAACAATCCCAGCTCCCTCAGCTGCTATAGATATAAGACTTGTGCTATAGATGCCTCACTACCTTTGTTGCTCTTCAGACTCTGGACATGCATCAGGGCCTCCATGTCTTCCTTGTACTGAGGAGCCCAGAACTGAACACAGCACTCAAAGTGTGGCATCACCAGAGCTGAATACAGGGGTGATCATCTCAGTGCTCCTGCTGGCCATACTATTTCTGATACAAGACAGGATGCTGTTGGCCTTCTTGGCTCACGTTCAGCTGAGAGTCAACCAACACCACCAGATCTTTTTACTCCACACAGTCTTGCACTCACTCAGCCCCAGGTCTGTAGCAATGCCTGGGGTTGTTGAGGTCAAAGTGCAGGACCCAGCACTTGGACTTGTTGAATTTCATCCCATTGGCTTCAGTCCAGCTATCCAGCCTGTCCCTCTGTAGGACCTTCCTTCCCCCAGGCAGATTGACACTTTCTCCCAGCTTGGTGCCATCTGCAAACTTACTGAGGGTGCACCTCTTGCAGGTCATCATTAAAGATATTGAACAGGACAGGTCCCAACATCAACCCTTGGAAAACACCACACATAACCAGTTGCCAGCTGGATTTAACTGCATTCAGCGCTACTTTCTGGGTCTGGCCATCCAGCCAGTTCTTTACCCAGCAAAGAATGTACTTGTCCAAGTCATGGGTTGCCAGCTTCTCCAGGAGAACACTGTGGGAGACACTAGGTCTGGAGCTGTACTGTTCTGGGCCAGTGAATTTAGGCATGAATAATTTAGGTGTATATCCTGGAGTGCTTGCCCCAGGAAGCATCTCCCTGTGGGTCTGCAATTCAACTACAGCTGCCAAGAAAGTGCATGCTACACATACTGGCTTCCAGCTTCCCTGTAGTAATTGAAGCAGCTCTTGCTCCCTCCAGCTCTGAAATCCTGCTTACGTCTCAGAGCCCTTGAGAGATCAGCAGTGTGCATTGCTAGCAGTATGGAGTAGGTGGCAAGTGAGCCCTTGGCTCCACCAACAGAAGCCTGTGAATCTGTGCATGACACTTCCCCTTCCTTCCCTCTGCTTCATCTTGCTCCATCCCCATAGCTCTCTGTGCTCAGCTTGAGCACTGCCTTTGGTCTGCCTTGCCTGAAGCAGAAGCTTCCCAGGTAGGACAGCAAAGTGTTTCCACTCAAATCCTGAGAGGACTTCCAACATCATGAAAGCTTGAGTTGGACTCCAAGTGCCAGGTTCGCTGTGCCATGAGCCTTGTTTCTGAGGTCATAGCAAATAGTTGGTTTCTCTGGTTGTACGGGTAGATACCAACCCATAACTGATTTTAAGTTATTTTCAAATTCTCAATTAGAAAACAAGGTGAATAAGGGATCTGCCTTTTGAATGAATACTTTGTCTTTCCTATTTCTTGATGGAAGGCTATTCAGAATGTTGTATTTGCTATTCTGCTTATCTCATGGAGTCTTACCTTGTCTTTCTGCTTTGGCAAGAGATGTGAAGTCCAGGGCAAGAACATAACTGTAAAGTCACTGTAATGATAACTATTGCTAGAATGGCAGAAAATGCCCTCCAGCTGACAGTGGAGCCTCACTGCCAGTTTTGAAGTGGATGTTAAATATTCAGTTAATTCTTGGCTTGATGACATCTTGCTACTAGCTTTTAAAACAACTAGATCTTGAAATTGCTGTTTTTCCTTCATAATTGTTGTGACCACAAATTCAAGAGGAGCCAAATCAGCTGAGATAAAGTGGCTTTAAACAGCAGAAAACTGCTGTTCCTCCACTGCCGTATATGAAGCCTTGCAAGAAAGTAGCCTGCCATTGTCACTGCTGCCCTAGTGAGAACTTCATAGCACAGGGCTGGCTTGGCTAAGAAAAATAAACACTTTCAGTCACATCAAACACAGCTTTTTAAATACCCACTTTATTAGAGTCAAGATATGAGTTTGTTATTCTAACACTAATAATATAAATCCCTCCTCTCTTCTTGCCTGCTGCCCAAATCTGATAGAGACCCATGGAGTTTGACGAACTGAGATCTAGTGAGTGTAAATGCCAAAACCTTCAGAAGAGTTTTAAAAGAGCTTTATAGAAAAGATCACCCATGGAACAAAGGCAGTGAATTAAGAAAAAAAGGAAAAAAAAGCATCACAAGTAGTATTTTAAAGAAAAGCATGTTGGTAGTGTTTAAGCATAACAAAATAATCTCAATATGTAAAGGTCAGTTGTAAAAGAAACTGTATCAAGGGACACCATGGAGCAGCCAACTATTGGACAAAGCCTTCTGTAAGTTTTAGGTTTTCATTGTGAAGAATCACCTGTGGGTGAGAACCTCACCATATACAAGATCTGTCTCAGTGGTCCTTCTTTTGGAACAAAACGGGTCTTCTAAACTGCAATCTCTAAAATAAAATAAAACAAATATGGCAAATACCAGACACTTCTCAACACACTAGATCTTAACCAAAGCCTGATTTTGTTGACCCTGTGGTTAGCCTGTCTGATCTTGTACTCTGTGGTTAGTCTTGAATGCGAAAAGTTCATTACTTCTGCAGTTTTTCTCACTTTGACCTTCACCACATCCTTTGATTTTTATTATGCTTCCCTCTTAATTTCTCTCTTTTTTAAAGATTGATTTAAAGCCTTAATATAAAGCATAAAGCGTATATTCTCCACAAAGAATCCCAACCTAAAAACTTAATTCATTTTACTGTACTTCCTCATCCCACACTTCAGTTTGTGTGGACACTCCACTCATTTGGTTTTTGGATTAAGAGAGAATTTCATTTAGCACTCATTCAGTTTCTAAGAGCAGGACAGGGAGGGTTGAGTTGACCTGTGACTGAGACCAGCTTAAGCTGTCTTTCTTCTGCACCCCACAAACCATCTCTTCCCCTCCTGC